TCAATAAAACTTAAAGTGATTTCACTTTAGTTCATAAAATGCTTCAATGGGAGAAAAACAAAACTTATCAACATACACATAAGTGGAAGAAATACAAAGAAATCAGATGTTATACCTCAACAATTCTCCTCCGTAGGATCTTTGACGATACTTCTTTGAAGACCAGCTTCACATCTACTTCAGAAAATAACTAGACATGGGCAATAACTAGTTTGTTAGCATTACAGAAAAACATTGAATAAGAGAAAAGGTCAGTTTCAAGCTACCATATAGAGAAAAGTAAAAGACTCACTAAAGGGATAGGTTTCCGAGGGATGGGCCTTATGTGAACATCTCCTTGGTCCACCTCACCTTCTGGAACAACTTCCTCATCCTCGTCTTCATCCTCCAACAGATCCGGTTGTGCTTCTGTGGTTCCAAATGCTTCCTCATCAATGACATATCCCTTCTCAGTCAGTATTGTTATGACTTTTTCTTCCAGGGACGATATGGCTTTCCTTCTCGGTATTTTGCTCTTAATCTGTAGCGCTTTGGTCAATTCCTCACCAGCAAGTTCCTGTGTACAGAAACCAACTGATGTGACACTTGATTTACGAGTTAATATCACTGTGATTTCATTCTTGAAAAACCAAACCAAACAAAACAACATTTATGTAACATACTTTCACATGCTTATATAGCTCAGGAGGTGGTAATCTGATAGCGTCGAGCATTTTGGCCTTTCCATGTTTCTTTGCTAAAGCTTCAATAGCAGTGCATGTAGCCTGTACAGCATCCTGGTAATGAATGAAAAAGCCTCACATTTAGTACCAACTACAGATTCAAGAATATTGAAATAATCCCAATTAAAAATCAAAATACCTGTCCAACTTTAACAGCTTGGACCAGCATTTCCTCAGGAAGAAAATTACTATAGCCCTGCAAAACCAGATATTTGCAATGAGCAAGGGCTAAGTCAAGATAAAACAGAACAAGAGGACATATGAAAATCTTGCAAACTAAGGTAAAGATTAAATTTGACCTCTATCGTTAAAATTGCAGTATCTGTTCCAGCTAGAAACAAATCTAGCTGTGATTCTTCCATCTCCTTCACGGTCGGATTGACGATAAATTCACCCCCAATAAGACCGACCCGAACTGCTGCAACCGCTTTTGAATTTGGTACTTCCGAAAGAGCTCTGTGTTATTTATTCATTACAAAGCCATGTCAATGTTGCCAACACAAAAATCTTCACTCATAAAAACGGAAATGATATGACCCTACATACACAGCTATTCCAGCAGATGTAACAGCTAAAGCATCAGGTGCGTGTAACCCATCGTAGCTCAAAACCTGAAACCACAACCAAGAAACAGTTCAATGACAAATGAGTCAAAACCAAGAAGATAAATACAACATCTTTATATATGTTTAACAAATCCACGGAGAAGAACCATACCCAGGATAATATCTGAGTTTCATGGTAGAAACCTTTGGGCATAGTGGGGCGTAGAGGTCTATCGATCAACCTACAAATCAGAACCTGCATAAACACCAAAAGCAGAAACATGTTAAGAAGGATGAAAAAAGAAGAAGAAACCAAACATCATTTAGCATTAGTAAATACCTCGTGATCTTTGGTTCTCCCTTCTCGCTTAAAAAATCCACCACTGTACCATAACAAGTCTCATTTAGATCACTATTCAGACTAACATCTAGATTCCAAGATTGCCAAAGATTTACAAACG